CCAGAAATGAGATAAAGTGACTGAGGCAAGTGAGCTGGAAGTAGATCTACACTCCATACTGGAAGATGGGCAGGCTTTGGAAATGTCTGAGAAGGAATTCAGAAAAATGATTATAAAATGTATTAAAACACTATACAATGGAGTTGAGAAAAATAAGGAAGAAGTCAGGAAAGCACTACAGGAACAATCAAACAAGATAGATACAGCATTGGAAGCAATTCAAAATCTACAGAAAGAAGTCCAAATGATTAGTAATAGAATATCAGATATGGACAATACACTGAAAGGGCAAAGGAGTAGAACTGAAGAGATAGAAGCCAGAACTAGTGTGCTAGAAGATAAATCTCTCAACACTACTAAAACAGAAGAGCAAACACAAAAAGGATAAAAAAAATCTGAAGAAGGCCTAAGATTTATGTTGCACAACATGAAGAGGAATAACTTAAGAATTATCAGCATTCCGGAACAGGAAGAATCCCACAAGTCCACAGAGGAGATAGTAGTTTTGTAACAAAAACAGGGGAGTGGTTAATCTTACAGTCCAGAAACAGAGGACCCTAGGACCATCAAGGGAGAAGTGCACAGTCAGAATGCAGGACCTTATCCAAAGAAGCAGTGATGCCAGAAACTGAGGCAGAGATGGGGTCATGAGAGGAGGAGCAGCTGAGGACTCTAGATTCATGGGAAGAGAGGGGCTAAGAGCTGGTGGCCAGGAAGCAGACTTGTAGGATGTGCCCTTTGGAGATGCAAATTATTACATATGCCTGAGTGGTGGTGTTTTTTAAAAAAGCTAAAGTGAATAGAGAGAAATACTGTTAACTGATGGCATCTGGAGGGGATTATAATCATTGTAATGAAACAAGGTGTATGGTTTGTTGAATGTAAAACTGATGACCTGCCCTGTAAACTTTTACTCAATCCACAATAAAGAATCATATACCCTGCAAAATTGTCCCTCAACTATGATGGTGAAATGAGGACATTTTCAGATAAACAGAAATTGAAAGAATTTGTAACGGCCAGACCAGCTTTACCAAAAAATGCTAACGGGTGTTCTTTGGACTGAAAAACAACAGCAGACAGCCAGCTGAGATTACCATACATACATGACACCACCACCCAGAACTCAATCCAGATAGAGAAGTATCCAAAGCAAAACAAACCTTTTAAGACTGAAAGTAGGGAACCAGAGATATTAATGTATAATGAAGTCAACTACAAAGCAAAAAGAGTGAATAGTATAGATGCAAAACTTCCAAATTTCAAGGTTGCGAGGAAATCTAGTAGATTTCGAGATAAACCAGACTACTTTAAACTGGAAAAAATAATAAATTACAGGGTAACCTCATAGAAAACTAATACACCTTCACAGCAAAATAAAAATGAGGAAAATCAGAAAGATTCAGTAAACAGTAAAATAACAGCAATGAAGAAAATGAAAAGAAAACCCACAAATAAAATGAACTTGGCACAGAAATTTATGTGGAACAAAGAAACTGGCTACACCACAAAAAAAAAAAAAAAAAAATACAGCAAAATGATAGCAATCAATTCATACTGATCGATAATTACTCTGAATATAAATTGATTAAGTGTGCTACTAAAGAAACAGAGAATAGCAGAATGGATATAAACTTTGGTACATATGAAATTAGTCAGTCACAAAAGGGCATATATTGTATGAGACCATTGTTGTGAAAAGTTAAAATGTTTTCTTCTTAAAAGAAATGTTCAATCATGATGCATACCAGAATGTGAAGGGAAGGGAAAATTATTCACTAGGTATATGTGGGTGATAACGTTAATGTGGGTGATAGGGAAGGCAATATACAACAAAAAGGAGAAGGCTGGCACAGGACAGATGAAAGTAGTGAAATACACAGGTAGGAGTGCAAGAGTTCAAGTGACTAGAAGGAAGTACTGGTAACTGGGTGGTACATGCAAGGGATTGCTATCATTGTAATTACGTGAAGTATGGGATTTGTTGGATGTGGAACTGATTGTTATGTAAGCCTTTACTCAATTCACAATAAAAAGATGTTTATAAATGTTCTGCTTTTATCTAGCTTGTACACTGAAATTGTATAGATTTCATTTGAAGAAAGGATTATATTGAAAAAAAAATTTTTTTAAGTTTTGAACGCATCTAACTGCCTGAAATGTAATACTTCCCTGTCTTTTTTGATTGCCAGTCCCAGACCTTCACTGTTCAGTGCAGCTGCATCTTTTTTCCAGTTTGCCATGCTGCTAAGGCATAACAGGTCCCTAATAATTGTCACTATGGCCATCTTTTGAATTCCACTAAGCCCATAGTACTGCTAGTCACCCTTTTTGCTTTTCTCTAATTAGATCTTTCTCAAACTGGCATTTCTGAAGTGTTAGTAAGTGACAAGGCTTTGAGAAGTCCTGCAGTAAAGATTTCTATTGAACTTTGTTTAATCCTTTATTTCTCAATTTATTTGAACATGAGATATTTCCTGTTGAGGCATAAATATTGACATCTCTTGGAGCAGTAAAGGTTTATGAGTTAAAATGACTAACAGTTGATCTATTGAATGAACAGTTTGTGTAACCACCCAAATTAAGTGAGTCATCTTGTTTAACAATGAGATAACAGGTGCTTATTTTTCCCCTCCTAGGTGTATTGTGTTGTAATCATTCAAAGGATAACCAAATGTGCCGGGATGTATGTGAACAGGTAAGCTTACATACTGTTGTTGTTGGTAAGTGCCATCAGGTTGGTTCTGACTCATAAAAACCCTATATGGGTTTCTGAGGATCGTCTGGTGGGTTTGAACTGTTGACCCTGTGGTTAGCAGTCCAGTGCTTATCCTATAGTGCCATACCAGGACTCCAACTCTAGAGAATATTATTTATGTCATTGTTTATAAAGTACAGTTGTTTTAGAGAAATGTGTTGGACATCTTAACCAAGTGATCACATCACCAATAATGGGACAAATTGATAATGTATCTACTGACAAGATGTACTGAGAAGTACAGTATTGTTTATGTAGGATTTCTGACAAAAGTGCATAACCTGAATCATGAGGAAGCAAACCCAGTTGAGGGCTATTCCACAAAACAACAGCCTATACTTCTCAAAAACATCCACATTGTACAAACAAAGGCTAAGAAACTATCAGATTAAAACATACTAAAGAAACATGACCAGAGAGAATAAAGGAGCCCTGGTATGACACTGTAGGATAAACACTGGACTGATAAACACAAGATTCACAGTACAAACCCACCAGCCGTTCTGCGTAAAAAAGGTGAGGCTTTCTGCTCCCGTGAAGATTTACAGCTTCAGAAACTCAATACAGTGTTGCTGTCAGTTGTAATAGACTGGTTAACAGTGAGTTTGGTTTGGGGGTAAAGAGTCGTGCAGGCAAATATAATGTATGACCCTGGGCTGAATCCTGGAATTAAAAAAAAATTTTATAAAAACATTACTGGGATAAATTGGTGAAATTTGAATATGGACTTATATTAACTAATATCAATACTATGATCCTGAATTTGACATTTTTCTTGTAGTTAGGTATAATGGTGTCCTTGTTCTCCGGAGATATGTGTTCATACATGAAAGAATGATACTATCATGATGTTTGCTCATCATGTGTGACTTCTAAAAGGTTCATCAAAATAATTGTAATAATAATATGTTATAGAACAGCAAGGTCTGCGGTTCAAGCTCATCAGCTCTTCCTCGGAAACCCTATACAGAGTTGCTATGGGTTGGAATCGACTCAACAGCACTTAACAACAACATAGAATGTTAAAGCAAATGTTATAAGATATTAATAATTATAAAGATTATGTGAATGCTCATTTTATTATTCTTGACAGTTTTCTCAATGTTTCAGTTTTTCTACTTGAGCTTTGTAAGGCAAGTTCCACTGAGGCAGTTGTTGTTGTTAAGTGACTTTGAGTTGGTTTCGACTCATAGTGACTGAGTATAGGGTTTCCAGGAGTACCTGGTAGGTTTGAGTTGCCAACCTTGTGGTTAGCAATCCAATGCTTATCCTACAGTGCCAAAGGCTTACCTTTCTTTCATCATCTAGGTTGTAGTTCCATCCCTAAAGCTTAAGAAGTAAAGTCATCTTTTGGAGGAATTTTCAAGTGATAACCTAGATTTTTGTTACTTTCTTCCTAAAACTGAGAGCACTATCTAACTAGACTTGTACTTTCTCTCAAGTAATACTTTGGACTTAGAAAGATTTTGCAAGATACTTTCTGATTATAAGATCACAGTGACTCAGTTACTGCTAGAGAATTCAGTAATGCTGAAATTTACATTGAAGTGTTTTGCAAATTTACTGTAAAACAACAAATTGAAGCCAAATTGGCCCCTTGATGATATCCTTGAAAGGAAGCTCTATTTTTTTTTTGAAGTATGGCTTGGCTGACTTTTTTCCTTTGTTTCCTATCATGGTTCCAAAGGGTGAATAATCTTTAAGAGGTGTCTTGTAAAGAGGCATCTGTGGTGCAAGGTTTAATTTCTTAAAATCTGGAATGTTAGAAATTCTGTATTCAGCAATATTGCTCCAATCAAGCAGATGTTAAATATATTTAGCAATGCTAAAATGAAAACAAATTTTGTACAACTCATCACTTTAGAGAAGGCCCCAGACTTGTTATTACTCTCATAAGTGGAAGAATATATAAGCACATAAATAGAGCAGCAAACACTATGTAAAAAAATGATTCAAGATCCATTCAAGAAATAATTTGGGCATTACACAAGGATTTACTGACTTCTTTCACACTCTGGTGGCACAACGGTTAAGGGCTCAACTGCTAACCAAAAAGTTAAGGGTTCAAGTCTACCAGCTGCTCCACAGGAGAAAGATATGGCAGTCTGCCTCTGTAAATATTACAGCTTTGAAAATCCTATGAGGCAGTTCTTCTCTGTTCTAGAGGATGAGTCAGAATCTATTCTATGAGTCAGAATCAATACAACAGCCAATAGGTTTGGTTAACCGGTTTTCTTTCATGCTCAGTGTTAATAAGGCATTAAAGAGAATATCAAAATACTTACTGCCTGAAGGAGCTTAAACTCTTAACGATAAGACCTGCATGGTGAAAGCAGTTAGGTAACTGCCTTAATTAGCTGTGTCTTAATGCCAAGTGAAGAATGCAGTAGTGTGGACAGTAGGAACTGGAGGAGTTTCAGAAGGATATACATGGACTGGAACAGCCAGAAAAGGCCTATGCAGCAGAGGTGTACTGCCCCTGACTTTTAAACTGTCACACTTAAAGTGAGAAGGGAGAATATTCCCAGGTGGGAAGAGAAAATTGAGTGAAGGCTGAAGAGTTAAGAGTTGACATGGAATGTTAAGAAAGAACGTGTGCTTAGCTGGGACAGAGAAAGGGGAGGGAGGGAAAAGGAGCTACTGGACTGAACAGACTGATCTTTCTCTTGAGCAGTGGGGAGGTTTTTAGTGACGGAGTGAGTGATAGTGGTGTTTTAAGATTAGTATGGGGTCCCTGTATAATCAGAGGGCTTAGTATAAGAAAATGAAATTAGAGGGTGATAAAGAGGTCCATTTTGGGGGTGATGAACTCTCAGAGTAAGGCTGTGGTCATGGAAAGAAAAGGTTATAAGGGATACTCTGGGGAAGAATCTACGGAACTAGAAATAGTATAGCATTTGTTGTTGTTGTTGTTAGGTGCCATTGAGTCGGTACCAACTCATAGCAACCCTATGCACAGCAGAATGAAACACTGCCCTATCCTGGGCCAACCTTGAATCCATCGATGCTGCCACTTGGCCAATCCATCTCCATAGCTACACTAAAGTCAGAACTTTAATGTCAGACAGTTTCTATCCCTGCCACTTAAGAACAGTTATTTAACCTCTGTGAGTCTTAGTTTTCTCATTTGAAAGGTGGGATAATAATACATTAGAAAGTACTGAGGATTAAATGAGAAAATGTATATAATGTATACAAATGTATATAATGTATAAAATATCCCTCAAGTGCTAAGGGAATTCATTATGTAATAGTTAAGCTGATCAATAATTACTTGAATACTATATTGTTGTTGTTGTTGTGCCATTGAGTTGGTTCTGACTCATAGAAACCCTCTATAGGGTTTCCAAGGAGCGGCTGGTAAGTTTGAACCACCAACCTTACAGTTCAAACCGACTTTGCAGTCCTGTGCATTAACCTTCAGTGTTAACCCACCGTACTATACCGTGACTCCTGAATACTGTCATCACCCTGAAAAAACACATTCATTTCAGACCAAGTTCTTAACTATTCCTTGTAAAAATAAGACATAGAAATAAGGCAGATAGGATGGGAAATATCACTTTTATTACTATTATATGATGTTGAATGTGCCTTTTGTAACCAGGCACACACTAAACCACAGGATTAGACTTCCTTCAAGAAAAGGAAAAGTAAGGGCTGGGTTACATATGTTCCCTTTCTCCTACCAAAGTCAACAGATAGTCCTCCCAATTATGGTAGGGTATGGAGAGATGCTGCTGTTGTTGCTGTTAAGTGCCATGGAGTAGGTTCCGACCCATAGCGATCCTATACAGGGTTTTCAAGGAGCAGCTGGTAAGCTTGAACCTCCTGCCTTGTGGTTCAAACTAACTTTGCAGTCCGGCACATTAACCCACAGCGCCACACCAGGACTCCATGGAGAGATGTTAAGGCTGTTAAAACTAATGGTACTCACTTAAAATGCAAGGAATCATAAATTTTTCTACCAATAGGGAATGAAGAAAGGGCAAAGAACTCGTGACATTTACATTTTGAGAAGGAGCCCTGGTGGTGCAGTGGGTTAAGCATTGGGCTGTTAACCAAATGGTAGGTAGGCTGTTCAAACCCATCAACCTCATGACAGGAAAAAGATGAGACTGCTTCTATCAACATTACCAATCCTAGAAACCTGATGGAGCTGCTCAGCTCGGTCTTACAGGGTCACTTACTCTGAGTCAGAATTGACTCACCAGCAGTGAGTGAGTTTTTGATTGCTGTGGGAGGTTGGGAAAAGATTTTGGTTTGGAGGGAAGATGAGTTTCCTTCAATAGTTGTTGAATTATCAGTGAAAAGCACTGTGTGAAGACAGTTGGTGGTATGTCTGGTTGTCTCTTTTTTTTTTTAATACTAGTTGTTGTTGTTGTTAGGTGCCATCGAGTTGGTGCCGACTCGTAGTGACACTATGTACAACAGAACAAAACACTGCCCGGTCGTGGGCCAATCTCACAATTGTTGCCACGCTTGAGCCCATTGATGCTGCCACTTTGCCAGTCCATCTCGCTGGGGGTCTTCATCTTTTTCTCTGACCTTCCACTTTACCAAACATGATGTCCTTCTCCAGTGACTAGTCCCTCCTGACAGTATGTCTAAAGTATGAGAGACAAAGTTTGGCCATCCTGGCCTCCAAGGAGCACTCTGGCTGCACTTCTTCCAACACAGATTTCTTGGTTCTTGCATGGTACTTACTTAAAATGCAAGGAATACAAGGAGCAAGGAATCATAAATTTTTCTACCAATAGGGAATGAAGAAAGGGCGAAGAACTCGTGACATTTATATTTTGAGAAGGGGCCCTGGTGGTGCAGTGGGTTTCAATATTCTCCTCCAATACCATAACTCAAAAGTATTAATTCTTCTACGGTCTACCTTATTCACTGTCCAGCTTTCACATGCATATGAGGTTATTTAAAATACCATGGCTTGGGTCAGGCGCACCTTAGTCCTCAAGCTGACATCTTTGCTCTTCAACACTTTAAAAAGGTCTTGTGCAGCAGATTTGCCTAATGCAATATGTTGTTTGATTTCTTGACTGCTGCTTCCTTGAGTGTTTATAGTTGATCCAAGAATAATGAAGTCATTGACAACTTCAGTCTTTACTCTGTTGATAAGAATGTTGTTTATTGGTCCAATGGTGAGGATTTTTGTTTCTTTACACTGGTATGCAATCCATACTGAATGCTGTGGTCTTTGATCTTCATCAGTAACTATCTTAAGTCCTCTTGACTTTCAGCAAGCAAAGTTGTATCATCTACATATTGCAGGTTGTTAATGAGTCTTCCTCCAATCCTGAGACCACGTTTTTCTTCATAGAATCCAGCTTCTCGGATTATTTGCTCAGCATACAGTTTGAATAAGAACTGAGGCCATAAAATCCATAAGGGTTAAGGGGCAATGAAAAAGGATTTATCTCTAGTTAGTTTATAGTAGGCTTTTTTTTTTTCTCTCCCCAAACACAATTAAGAATTGAAAAGAGCTATAATATCACCATTTTGCAACCCTAATGGTCATGCAGTGGGTAAAGCATTAGACTACTGACCACAGGGTTGGCAGTTCAAACCTGCTAGCCACTCCATGGGAGAAAAATGAAGTTATCTGTTCCCATAAAGAATTACAGGTTTAAAAACCCAATCGAACAGTTCTACTCTGTTGTTTGGGGTCATGATGAGTCAGAAGCCACTCAATGATAGTGGGCTTACTGAATTAATACATTTAGACAATTATTAGTACTAGTAGCCCTTGATATTTGTGAGTCAGAACCAATTCCGTGGCATTTCACAACAACATAAGAGGGTCTAGCCAGGCTGTATTTGAACTGTCTTGGTTATTTGCTAAACTAACCAACCTTTAAAGAAATGTTAACTCAGCTAAATTTAAATCCTGTCCAGGGGGTTTCTATTTATAAAAGGAAATTGGGACATTTCTAGACAACTGATATAGTAAAAGGCTAATAAATTGTACCTCGTCTCATTTCTTATGGAAAAAAAAATGCTGCAAAACTTTTTTTTTTCAAATACAGATTTTCTCCTCAAAGAGTGAATCTCGTCTAAAACATCTATTGCAACGAGCCCCCGACTATTGTCCAGAAACAATGGTAGGTCAGTTTAACTATGGAAGCTTCTGTTTCAGTGAAGCCATCTAATGAGTTACTTTTAGATTTAACACAATTTTAAATATTATTGGGGCTTGGAGTTAAAGTAAAATGTTAGATTTAACTGTATAATTTTAATCTTCACACAAATTTCCAGGTAGATTATTATTCTTCATCTTTATTGTCTATTCTGTGATATAGAGCAAAAACAACCTTAAATGTACTTCCAGGCTTTAAATTTTACTTTAATATTTTATCTAGAATTAGAGGGTTTTTTTGTATTTATCATTGTACTTTAACCAGTTTTATGAAAACCATAATAACTAAATCATGCAATTAAACACTGGACTGTGAACCACCAGCCACCCGGTGGGGAAAAAATGAGGTTTTCTGCTCCCACAGAGATTTAAAGATTCGGAAGCCCTATATAAGGTTGCTGTGAGTCAGAACTGACTCAATGGCACTTAACAACATATTTATTTTGAATTTGCGAAGTTTAATTTTGGAATTCTCCTTTTCCTTCATACTGTAGATACATTCAGGAGTCCTGGTGTGGCACTGTAGGATAAGCACTGAACTACATGAACCACAAGGGCCATGGTTCAAGTTCACCAGCCACTCCTCAAAAAACCTATTTAGTGTCACATGACACAACAACATCCGTAACATAGATACATTAAGGAACCCTGGTGGCACTGTAGAATAAGCACTAGACACTAAATGCATCATGGGCAGTTCAAACCAACTAGAAGCTCTCAGGGAGAAAGATGAGACTGTCAGCTTCTGTAATGGTTGACTGTCTCAGAAACCTTATATAGGGTTTCTATGAGTCAGAATCAAGTTGATGGCAGTGGGTTTTGTTATGTGTTTTTTATAATTACATTGCTTGCTAGTCTGAACCATGTAACATGAAATGGCACTCACTGATGCTTGGCTGTCGTCAGTGTTTGGGAAATCTTTAGACTTTCTTTGGTTAAGAAAATCTGCACTTGCATGAGAGAGCCTCTTCAGATGTGTTGACTTCTGAAAGGGGTTGAGGGGTTCAGCTGATGATCAAACACTTCTGATTCTTTAGTCTGTGTGCTTGAAAACTGTGCTCCCAAGACACATCCTAGTAACCAACGTCTCCTTACTACTTAAAGATGAGAGGATAAAGAGCAAGCTCTATTTTTCCATCTTTGCTTCCCCTCCCCCAATGCCCCAGAAAACGAGACAGTGTGTTTATAATTCTAGAAATCGACTATATAAACACCAAACCCACTGCCATCAAGTTGATTCCAGCTCATAGTCCAGTGCTTATCCTACAGCACCACCAGGCTCCTTATAAATATGGCCATAGTCAAAGAAGCTATATAGTATTTGTCATATTTAGGAACTGGTTATCTACTTACAAGTCTTTTGATGATTACTATTTTAGGTTGAAATATGGAGTTGTATGAATTCATCTTTGCCAGGTAAGCAACAGAATTTTTTAACACTTAGCACTTTATATTTTAAAACTTACTTTGTGATTACAAAATCTATGTCATAATTCCTATTACCCTTGAGTTTCTATCTTCTTCCTTTCACCATGCACATTTTCAAATTTATAATTTATTCCCATTCATTCAACCCCTTAACTTTGTACTCTTGTATCCACTTTTACCATTCTGTTGAAACCACTATTTGAAAGATTACCAGGTTCTCTTGGTTCCTAGATCTTACGGAATTCTCCATCCAGATGGCATTGGGCAAATTTGCTGCACAATTCTTTAAAATGTTGAAGAGCAAGGATGTCGCTTTGAGGACTAAAGTGCTCTTGACTCAAGCCATGATCTTTTCAGTCACCTTATGTGCATATGAAAGCTGAACAATGAATAAGAAAGACAGGAGAAGAATTGATACATTTGAATTATGTCAATGGTAAAGAATATTGAAAGTACCGTGGACTGTCAAAAGATAAACAAATCTATCAAAAAACAATATTCTTATCAACGAAGAAAAGATTGAAGTTGTCAAGGACTTCATTCTTCTTGGATCAACTATCAACACTCATGGAAGCAGCAGTCAAGAAATCAAACTGCGTATTGCATTAGGCAAATCTGCTGCACAAGACCTTTTTAAAGTGTTGAGAAGCAAAGATGTCAGCGTGAGGACTAAGGTGCGCCTGACCCAAGCCCTGGTATTTTCAATAACCTCATATGCATGTGAAAGAAAGCTGGACAGTGAACAAGGAAGGCTGTAGAAGAATTGGTGCTTTTGAGTTACGGTGTTGGAGGAGAATATTGAAAGTGCCATGACTGCCAAAAGAACCAAGAGATCTGTGTTGGAAGAAGTGCAGCCAGAGTGCTCCTTAGAGGCCAGGATGGCCAAACTTCATCTCTCATACTTCAGACATATTGTCTGTCAGGAGGTACCAGTCACTGGAGAAGGATAGCATGTTTGGTAGGGTGGAGGGTCAGAGAAAAAGAGGAAGACCCCCAGCAAGATGGATTGGCAAAGTGGCAGCATGAATGGGCTCAAGTGTGGCAACGGTAGTGAGGTTGGCCCAGGATCAGGCAGTGTTTCGTTCTGTTGTGCGTAGTGTCTCTATGAGTTGGTACTGATTCAATGACACCTAACAACAACAACACCATTTTGGAAAAAGTACAGCCAAATGCTCCTTAGAAGCAAGGATGGCAAGATTTCTTCTTTTGTGCTTTGTACATGTTGTCAGGAAGGACCAGAGACCTTGGAGAAGGACATCATGCTTGGTAAAGAGGAAATTCAGCGAAGAGGAGGAAGACAACAATGAGTTAGATTGACATAGTGGCTGCAACAATGGACTCAAAACATCACGATTGTGAGGATGGCACAGAGCTGGGCAGTGTTTCATTCTGGTGTACATAGGGTCACTATGAGTCAGAGCCAACTCAACAGCACCTAACAACAACAACAATACTTGTGTTTTTGTTTGTTTGCTTACTTGTTAAGTTAAATTAGAATCTTTGCCTCAGAAGTGAGAATGACCCAACCAGAGTCTTGGGTGGGTAAGGTAATGAAAAGCAAAGACATTGGTAAATCATACTGTGTCAGACCTTGACGATGCTGGTCAAATTGGGCATAAGGTCAGGTTACTCGTTTTGAGGCTCTGAGCTAGTTATTCTGTGGATCCCTGCTTTGACTTTGAGTTGTATCCATGAACCAGTTTGGTATTCTATGTTTGGCAGTATTTATGATCAACATTTGGCTATTTTATTTTAAGGTGTGTTTAAGAAGTCTGACAGCTGGGTTGGCTTAGGCTGCTGTGAACTGGCTATTGCCTCGGAGTGTCGACAGGCTTGCAAACAGGTAACGCTGGGGAGTCAAGGTCTTAAAGAGAGTGGAATGCAGGTGGGATCGTAACTGTGCATAAGTCCTGAACCTCACCTACCTCATAATTTTGAGATGTCCCATGAAAGCTGAAAATTTGTCTTTTTCTTGCATAGATCATTTCATTTTAGTTTATTTTTTCTTTTTCTTTGCCATGTAAAGAAAGACTTATTTATTATAGAACTCCAGACCTTTTGTACTTTGCCTGTGGTCATGCTGAGTCAATGTTGAGTGACTCGAGGTGGTCGTGCAAATTTAAAATATGCTTGCATGAAAGCAGCTGACATAGCTGACTTATTTTATTTACCTCCTTCCCCCCTTTCTTTTCTCATGAATTCACCCTGTGCATGCTTTTATCCCTTCTCTGCTCCTAAGAGGGAGCATGAATCCTGAAGTAATTATGACTTCTCCTTATTGGATTGGTCTGTCTCTAGTCCATTTCAGGTTAGGCTCCTGAGTTCTCAGTGTATATATTTTGATAGTGGCTCATCAAAGTGCTGTGGGAAAACAGGCTTCTTGGCTCCTCAGACCCCAAGTGATGAGCAAAGTTATCTGGGAAATTAGAAATGATTGTTTAAATCACAGCTGGTTTCAGGCTCATCTAAAGAAACAATCTTAGTTTCTTCTAGGAACTGACCTGTGAACAGGAGTGTATGAAGCTTGGTATCACCTTCACTTTCACACAGACCACTGTACTGTAGCCTGAGCAACACTCTTTAAGCAGAACACAGCTATCTGCTGCTCTTCTCCAAGCTTTAAGATGAAACTGAGTTGTAGAGAATATGAAGTGTAATGAGTCTCCTGAGACCAAAACCAATAGTCACCCATTCTGTTTCATGCCCTCTCCTTCCTTTTCAGTGGGCCTCTTATAAATTGGACGAACCCAGGTGATAGCACTAGAGAGAATGGAACAAGGGACCAGAGCCCATAGGTCTGAAAGTACGTTTCTAAATGGGGACTGATATGTGGAAGAACAGCCACCCCTAGGTGGATTTGCTTTGACTTGTTTCATACAGAAAGTCCATACTTAACTCTGGTAAAGAATTTGCTATTTCTCTGAGCAGGTTTCCTCATCTGCTGAGGAGATAATAGTGTCTTCATTATTTTGCCAATAAAAATAACTTTGATTAATTGCTTGGCGTAGTAACCTTCCCCTCTAGTTTCTCCCTTCATTTTACTTGGCATTTTTCAGAGTGATTTCAATAAGTTCATTGTGAGAGTTCAGAATATGAAGGATTAAAGAAAAAAGTAAGATATAAGTGCCCTGGCAAAGCTTCACAAGCAGATTTGCTATAGAGTGGGAATCACTTTTAAAAAGTCCTCTGATTAACCTCTCCTTCAAAGTCAGCTGGTTTCTGAAATAATAAAAAGACCAAGTGAGATTATATGAGATGAAAGCCAGAAGAGTTAAGATGAAGTTATAGCATATCAAGTAGGTCCTGAAGGTGATATTTGTTTTAATGCAATTTGTTGTATTTTATGAATTTTTAAATACTTGATCATAAGGTTTTCCTTGATGAAATAAAGACACCTATACCAGCAGTTAGTATATATTTTATTAATTTGTATTCATTTTGATCTTGTTTTGAATACTTTGTATAATACATTAATGAAGAAATTTGTTGACTTTTAGGCATCTTCAAAGAATGATATTTCCAAAGTTTGCAGAAAAGAACATGAGGTATGCATTTTATGTAATAAATTTGGATAGACTTTTCACATATTTTCAGACTTTATCAAATCACTTAAAATTTAATAATAAGTTCTTTCTGTACAAGCTGCCTTTTTCCTTATAAGAATTAACCTTGACAAAAATGTTATTTACCTTATTTTTATGTAAAAATAACTGGTTATATCCAAGATTGTGAAATTGATCAATTTTTTTCTTAAAATAACTTCTTTTTGCCCCTTTTACATATCCCTTGGCCCATTTAGGTGCCTACTTTTATAAACAACCTTCGTTATGGAGAAAAGAAGAAACAAAATCACATTTCTAGTATCACTTTAGCGTTTCCTAATATTTTACATTTGAAAAAAATACTGAATACTAAAGGCTGTGATAAACCTGAAAGATTGTTACCTCCTAATGTTGCAATTTCAGGCACTGTGGTATCTAGATGGAAGACATGTTGTTAGGGTAGCAGTAGAGGAGATACTTCATTCCAACCAAATAAGTGCAGAAGGTTATCCCCGATGGGAAACAGCTCACTATTGCAACTAAATTGTTGAGTTTTTAGAAGTGTGACAGTATTAATAGTTTTCATAGTGTATGTTGTTGTTGTTAGCTGCCATCGAGTTGGTACTGACTCATAGTGACCTTATTATGCACAGCAAAACGAAACCCTGCCCGATCCTGGGCTAACCTCACTACTATTGCCACACTTGAGTCCATCGATGCTACCACTTGGCCAATCCATCTCGTTGGGGGTCTTCCTCTTTTTCTCTGACTCTCCACCTTACCAAACGTGATCCTTAAGGCCATGTAACTGAGGGTATTCAAGGGCATTGGGATTCATATTGCTATAATAAGTTTGTATTCTCTTGGAAAGGAAAGATAGAGCAATTCTTTTAACTACTTCTAGGTTATAGTTCTAATTTTTTTTCTTTTCCCAAAGCCTATTAATTATATCTCTTTGTTAACATTTTTAAACTGGAGAATCTTTATTGATCGTTAGTCCCTTTGTACTGTTTGCTAAGTTATATCTGTTTCTCTGAAGACAACTTTCCAAATTAACTGCAACTGTCTTCTTTTCTTTTGAAAGGAGCCTTGCTACAAAGAAGTAAAAAAATCTTTTTTTTTTTTTTTTCCTTCTCTCTCTAGCTTTGAAATGACCAGTTGTAGTTTCTCTTGAACAAAGTGGCTAACTGTGACAATTCCTTCTTTTCTCCCCCATGATGTCTGACACTGTCCATCTCCTGTAGCCTGTCCTCCGTTATCTTAGTGTGCTTCCTTCTCTTGTCTGGATCTCTCCATTGCCCTAGGAAATCTGCCAGTATGTGTTGATGAAGGACGGGACAGGGACAGGAAAGGTAAGAGAGACTAAAACTGTCCTATGATGGGAATACTAAAGAATAGTTTACTTCTCCCAGATTGTCTTCCTTTATTTGACCCAGGAGTAAGCAACTATTTTCCAAGTAGTGACATGCCAAGAGAGTTCTTTTATTTTTATATTAAAGACTCAGCCCACAGATTATCCAAGATAATTCAAGACTCACTTAGATTTTTTTATGCTATTTAGAAATCAAAAGAGAGGCAAGTACAGAAATAAGTTCTGCATTATAAATCCAAATAGCAGTTACTGTCACAATTGGTGAAGTCTAGTCTAGAGATTCTGGCTATTTGTTAGAAGGCGAATTGGGTAAGTTTGGTGTAAAGCAACTTATACTTGTACTAATTAATTATTAACATCAGAGTAATTTCAAAAACCCAATTTTTAATGTCTTTCCCTTATCACTGGAGTAGCCTCTGGGTTGAACTTCTATATGTGTAAAGCCATTCTTTTAGACTTACAGTTTTAGGGGATAGCATTTATCTGGAAGAATAATTTGTGTGGTTAGATTAGAGAGTCAATGAATGAGTGATTAAATTTGGAGGACTAATGTTTATCTTTACTGTTAAGCTACTGCTTAGTCTCTTTTGAAAGAACTTCCTAAGAAATTTATTTAAATGAATAAAGTTTTTAAAATTTTTGAATGCATTCTAAGATTCTGTTTCTTTCTAACTAAGCTAAGATAAACCAGTTACATATAAAACATTGCTTAATTTGAATTTATGGGGCCTGGGTTCTTTGTTATACAAATCAACAAATACTTATGGAACACTGAGAGGTAGTTTTACATATTAGAAAAAGCACAAACTTGAGAGTCAGACCTAGGATAGAATTCTAATTAAACTATTTATAGCTTATCTAAAGTATTTTACTAAATATTAAAACATTAAATACTAAATTTTTAAATGTTAAATTTAAATTCTTTAAAATACTAAAGACTTTTATTCATTGTGTCACGATCATTAGAATTATTTATTGCATACACAAAGGCCCAGGGAAATCAGACAGCTGAGATCACATGTTGAGAGTTATCAGGAAAACTATGCAAAAGAGAGGCCTTAAAAATTTTGTAAGCTATGAGCAAAGTGACTTTGGATCAAAGTTATGCTAGCAGAAATGCATTTGGGTTATGCAGAGGGGAGTCCTGGTATGGTGCTGTGGGTTAATGCGCCAGACTGCAAAGCTGTTGGAACTTCAAGGTCTGCGGTTCAGGCTCAGCAGCTGCTCCTCAGAAACCCTGTACAGTGTTGCTATGAGTGGGAATCGACTTGACAGCAACAGCAGCAAGAGATGATAGTCCTGTTTGGCCCTGAGAATCTGTGTTTAGATAGACAGGCAAAGTGGGATCAAATCCTGGAAAGATTTTATATTGGACTCAGCCCACTGTTAAGTAGAGGAGGAGGATGAAGTGTCTATAGTGGGAGACCAACCTAACAATTCCAATATTTTAGAAAGCTTAAACTCAGTTATGTGTGGTCTAAATTTTAGGTCCCTGAAAGCCCTTTGGCTTAGCTTTAAATAAGTAAAGTCCAGAACTAGGGTCATAATAATAATCAAAACAGGTTTTGCATGGAGGGAATTACAGTCATTGAGATGAAACAAAATGTATGATTTGTTGAATGTAAATGATGATCTTGTCTGTAAATCTTCACTCAAGTCACAATAAAAAAAAATTTTTTTAATTATTATCAAAGGATAAAAATTTTCTGGGAAAATAAATAAATAAGTCAAATGTTATTGTTAAGTGCTGTCAAGTTGGTTCCAACCCATAGCGACCCTGAACAGCATTTCTGAGGCTGTAAATCTTTATGGGAGCAGAAAGCCTCATCTTTCTCCTGAGGAGCAGCTGGTAGTTTCGAACTGTTGACCTTGCGGTTCGCAGCCTGATTCATAACCACTACGCTACCAGAGCTCCTTAAGTCAAATATTAGCAGAGTCTTATCGACAGAGTTGTTATGTTAGATTGACAATTGTTGTTGTTAAGTGCCATCGAGCCTGTTCCGACTTATAGCAACCCTGTATAGGGTTTCCGAGGAGCAGCTGGTGAGCTTGAAGTGCCGATCTAGCGATTCAGATGACTTGCAGTCCAGCCTACAGCGCCACACCAGGATTGAATACAGAGGATGATATTCATTGAGAAAGAAAAAAATTCTAAGCTTTTAACCTAGTTTCCTGGGATGCATTTACTATTTTTTTAAACTTGAGGCTACTGTTTGACACTGCTCTTTCTGGCAAGAGGGCAGACTTGATACCTGGACCAGTCCTCCTAATGGAATAATTAAACATTGGATTAATTTGCTGGAAAGAAAAAATATTCAAGCCAAAAACTAAGTGAAGGCATGAATTCAGAGAAGTAAGCAAGCACTAAAAGAGACATTAGATTTTAGGGAATTTGCTGATAATTTTCATAGCTTTATAGCTTCATGAGATTCGGAAGTCAGGAGGCAAATTCTATGTCCTGAGTTAGTTGAAAATAGAATTTATGTTTCCTCCTTTCCCCACTAATATATGTGGGATCTCCAAGGGACTCCACACTCAGTATTTAGGTGATCAAGAAATAAACTCATAAAACTGATGTTCCCCCATGTAAATTATCACTCAATTCACAATAAAAACTTTTAAAAAAAAGAAAGAAACCCATTTTCTTCTCCATGGAATTCTCAGGAAATGTGCTTCTCTTGAACCTTAATGTTACCTTCATTAAGAATTCATAACTTTAAGGTGGTTTTCACTTTAGTTTGCAACCCAAATTCATACTAAGTGAGTGTTTATAAAACCTCAGGCTGAGGATTTATATTATACAAAGTTGTTCTCAAATCATAGTCACCCTCAGGTCCCTTAGAAAACCAAACACAAATCCTCTCCGAAGGAACCAGTCTTTATGCCATGCTTCTCAGAACTTCCAGGGTAAAAGTTCTAAGGAAAATAAACATCTCACAATAAAGAAATTATAAAATTCACCAAAACATAAGGTTCATCAAACAAAAGTCAGCAAAAACAATGGTCATCAAAATCAAACTTGAAGATAATTTAGATTTTGAACTTATTAGATATAGAACAGAAAATGTTTAATATGTTTAATAAATAAAACACATCTTGAAAACAGGAATAAAGAGCAAGCATATTTAAAGAAGAACCAAAGAGAATTCCCAGAAAACTTACTTGGAGTAAAAATATAGTGAATGAGTATATAGCACATTGGACAGAGTGAATAAAATTAGTGAACTGGAAGATAGAACTGAAGAAATGATACAGAAAATTACATGGAAAAGCAGCACAGAGAACATGAAGCTGAAAAAAGATGCTAACTGCCAGGTCTTTTCTCCTGCGGAGCCCCCGGTAGGTTCTAACCACAGACCTTCCATTAGCAGCTGAGCGATTAACCATTGTGCCACAGTCATAACTGACTAGGAGCCTTTGTAAATAGAACTATAAGAGATTCAAGCTGTCACCTGTTACAGATTTAATTTTGGCCCCAAAGAGCAATGTGGTAACCTTGACCCATGTATCTGTGAATGTGACCTGTTCTAAATACCGTTTCTCTTTTGTTATCAGTTAAACCAGATGAAGTCATACTAGAGTACGGGCTATCATAATTCTGATTCCTTCTGTGTGGTGTGTCATAAAAGAA